AAAAATACAATGGATATATGCTAGTATTAATCTATATTGTTAACATTTATCATGAATTAATGAGAATTCATTGATTATAGTATTGCTAAGAGTATTGTTTTGCCAAGCACTCAGAAAAGCTCCTAAAAATGTGATACCATAATAAGGCAGTAAAGACATTTAATTGCATGCATGAACATAATAGCACACAATGCGAACAATTTTGTAGCTATAATTGCTTTGTTTTTTTTTTAAAAGTAATTATTTGTTGCTGCTAAAAGCCATAAACTAAGACATAGTTTAGTGGCTTATTAAGTACATAAAGAACAAGAAAGAGAAAATAACCCAACAGTATCTAAAATAGCTAGACTTGGGGATGTCTAGATACATTAACTAATGCATAATAAATTCTAGCAAGCTAAACTTGTTGTCCGAATTCTGACAACCAATTATCCTAGTCCCAACATGTAAGAATCTCAATTTTCTCAAAAATATGTTAAAATCCCACGTGCAGAGAGTTAGTAGCATAGCATTCCACCACCATTCAATTTTAAGAAACTTTCGCTTCTATACAATTATATACCTGCACATTGTTCAAATCAAATTGTATTACTCAAGAGTCTTCCTCTATCCAGATTTTGAACTCCAACCTTCAAGTCAATCAAATCTCCATGTTCAAACATCTACAATTCAAAATCTACTTGTGTATAATTCATCTTCCAAAGCACTTAAAATTTGAACAAGCTAGACATGTTGTTTGAATTTGGACATGTGGATTTTCATATTCTCATCTTAATAGAATTTCAATTTTCTCAATTCACAGTATATCCAATGATAATGAGTAACCTTCTAGCCCCCACTAAATTTGCATTAGGGAGTTTCAATCACATCCATCTACATCACTCCATTATGACATAATAAAATTGAATTGCGTAAGAGTCCTCTTCCTTTCGGATTTTGAATTTCAACCTCTAAGTCAATCAAAATCACCATGTTCAAACATTAGAATATACAAATATTGCCGTGTATATCTCATCATCATATCAACCTTCTAGCTTATTCACTTAAGAATTAATCTTACTACTGTTCACCCTATCAAACACCACTAAACACCACTATCTACATTAATAACTTCTCTTAAAACAAGCTGTGATTGTTAAAGATGTTAGTACCACAGAACAAATTTTAAGATTTTACCAAGACATCTACAATTTTGGATGCGTGTAGGAATTTTTTTTTATGTGCAAAAATACCATACAAATATGCTTTTAATTATGCGACAAAGATACCATTCTCAAACAATAAAAATAACCAAGCAATAAGAGCAATAAACAAAAAGAAAAAAAATCACTAACCCAAAATCATTCAAAAAAAGTTACCCAAGCAAGAAGAATAGAATCAACAAGAATAAAAAAGATCCCAATAAGAGCACCACACTTTCAACACTAGAAAGGATTTTTCTAACCAAAGATGAGGAAATGAATGATGGAGCAATGAATGAGAGGGAACAGATGATAGTGGAGTGGGGTATTGGTGGATGGAAGGATGTTATAGAGAGGAGTGATGAAGAAAGAAACAAGAATGAGTTAAATACCATTAACCCGAAATCATTATAAAAAAGTACCCAAGGAAGAAAAGTATGATTAATACGAACAAAAAAGTTTCAAAAAAAAAAATGCTACGAACAAAAAAGTTTCAAAAAAGAAAATGCCTTGAATATTAGATATGAAGACTCTCCAGAGATGAGGAAATAAACTGTGAAACAACGAACAAGAGGGAGTGGATGGTACTAGAGTGGAGTGACTAAGGTTGAAAGGCTACTTTAAGAGAGAACGAACGATGAAGAGGGAGAGAAAAGAATGGGTTTAATAATTAAGGATAATTAGGTATTATATGGGAGTAATTTTTGAAATTGATAATGGTTATTTTCTTTCAATCAATTTATTTTCTTATTCCCACCCTCCTGAAATAGGCATTATTAAAGGCGTTTCAGTAATGACTATTTTGGCTTTTCTTAGAATGACCATTTCATTGAAACAAATGTTTCCTTTAACTTAGTAATAGCAGTAGCCATTTCCCCCAACCAAACACGCTATTAAGCTCAATGAGACCTGTTTTTTTCCCAAATAAAATCCATTATCTTTTGCAGTTGACTAAAATTTGGTAACCTACCTAAATTGAATATTTAACAAATTTCTTTCTAGTGGAGGAAGAAAGATGAAGGAATTATAAAAGATTTAGGCTAGCTGTTAAAACTATAAATAAATTTTTCCAAGGCACACTGGTTTGCTATTTGAGGCACAATAGACTTGGCTATGTGCATCCGAGCATTTAGCTCATTGGTTGGTGTATTATCCTCCTGCTTAAAGAGTAGGGTTCGAATCCTCCCTCCTCCAATTATATATAAAAAAAGATTTGGCCACATGTTTCTCATGTGCTGGCACAAGCAAAATATCTACACTAGTCACTCCCTTGTTCAAGTCGCATGTATCGACCTCTACAGATGAAGATGGGTCCCAAAATGAAACACCATGGCTTCAACACTGGAGATGATTTTTCTCATTAAGGAAAAGGAAATGGATGGTGGAGCAACAAATGAAAGGAAGTAGATGACAGTGGAGCGAGGTAGCAGTGGATGGAAGGCTACTTTAGAGAGAAGTGATGAAGAAACAAAAGAGCGTTAAATACCATTAATCCAAATTCATTAAAAGAAGAAGTACCCAAGCACGAAGAGCTCAATTGACAAGAACAAAAAGGTCAAAAAAAAAATCACCATGCTTTCGACACTAGAAATGAAGAACTGGATGCTGGAGCAACGAATGAGAGGGAGTGAACAATAGTGGAACGAGGAGATAGTGAACAGAAGGTTGTTTAGAAACGAAAGGAGTGATGAAGAGAGAGAAACAAGAATGTGTTAAATAGCTAGAGTTAATTGGGTAATATATAAGAGAGTAGTTTTTGAAATTGTTATGCAGTATTTTCATTCAATAATTTTATTTTCTTAATCCCACTAGCTAGGAATAGCAATTATTGAAAGGGGCTCGATAATTACTATTTCTTTCAGTAATGACTATTGTGATCTCTCTTGAAATGATTATTCTATTAAAACAAGTACAACATTTAATTTAATAATAAGAATAGGAGAATGACTATTCAATTCCCTTGAACCAAGCATGCTATTAATCTCAACTGGACCTGTTATTTCCCCAATTCAAATCCATTATTTTTGTAGTTGGCTAAAATTTGGTGACTTACCCAAAAGTTGGATATTTAACAAATTTCTTTTCCGTGGAGGAAGAAAGAGGAGGGAAATATAAAAGATTTTGACTGACTGTTGAAAATCCAAATAAATCTTTCAAGGACGTGCCGATTTGCTATTTGGGACGTGTTTCTCATGTGCTGGCACAAGCAAACTATTAGCAATAGTCACTCCCCCATGCGAGTCACTTGTATCGACCTCCACGAATGAAGAAGGTGATGAAGGTTTATCTAAGTTGTGATCTAAATCTGAATGTTCATGTTGCTAAAAAAGAAATAGAGCTCCTTAAGTTTACCTTGCGAATCTCGCCTGCAAAGAACGGGCTGCGTAGCTGCATCCCGATCAAATAGAGAACCTTCTAGGCTGCTGAATGGTTGAAATCAGGATGGCAGTTGAGCTTGGCTGAGAGACGTTGGAAACTTACTTGAGGAAGCCATGATAACAGTCCAAAGAGAATAATGAGGAAACAAGTAATTTGCAGAAATTTCCAATGAAAAGGAGATCAAATCGAGAAAATGCATGGGAAAAGGGGACACAAGTTAGGCCTGCTAACATTATCCCAGCGACAACGCTAATCCATCAGATCCCATCCATCCCCCCACCTCCCGCGTATTAAAAATTAAAAATGTCCATCAAAAGAATAATCAGGGCTATTCCTTATGAAACATGACTAATTCCAAATGCACACTCAATGACCTTTGTCAGATCAGCAGAAGTTGGTAAAGCTAACAAAGCACCTGACTCATTCCCTGCCAGCCAACCATTACAACTTTGTCGTTTCTAAACAACTGGAAACCAGAATAAAAAAACACAGAAGGAAATCTTATCAGATCATATCTATGCTAATCCTGGCAAGTAAAACTTCACATATCCTGTTTTGATTGCAGTCATACTCACAGATCTCTTCCTGTAAATGTAATTGGCATCCTGGTCGGCATTGGCAAATTAGGCAGGCAGTAGGCACCCAGGCGAGGGCAAAATCCTGAAGGAGTTCTAAAAATGGAATTTGCAAATCCGTATCCCCAAAAGTGCATGCGTTCCATTTCTAATTCCATTATCCTTCCACCTCATTACGCATACACACCCATTGTTACCTTTTCTGTTTTTTTCCCTAAAAAATTGATTTGGACTCAATATCAACACAAGAAATTTACCTGAAAGAAAAATGTCACTGAACAACTACCAGCACCACCACCACCTGAAGTCTGAAGCAATTTACCTGCCCACTTATTTACCGAGGAATCTTCAGCCAAGAAACAAAATGTCACGTTGCCATTTGCCTATATTACTACTCTTATTAGAAACAATGCAATGTATGAAATAGCTAGCTAAAATTTATGTCCAGATTAACACTGTACTCTATGGCATTTTCCTTTCTCATATGTAAGTTGAAATCAAAATGTCAATTTAATGCCAATATATCCCAAAGAGGAAGAGAATCGCAACGAACTGATACCTGTCCTGTCCTGGTTTTCATCAAACCGGAGAATTGGGATGAGATAGGCATCCTAGAGTTACTGGGGGTGAACAAGGAAGGAAATTGCACAGAAACTTGACCCTGATTTGTCAACCAACGTGATTTCTTGCCTGCGGTAATCACCAACCTTTTCAATATCATAAAAGGACATGAAAAAGTCAGAAAATGTTATCCATTTGCGGGCAACAACCATTGCTATTCAACTTCCCTTTCCAATCTCCCTAATATAATAATAGTATTCAACACGTTATCTATATTATTGCTTCTATATGGTTATTGATACCCTTTCCTGGTCGTAGTGGTTCATTGTAAAGCAAAAGGACAACCCAGATTCCAATAATTCCCACGTTGTATCTAACCCCGAGGAATATTACAACTCAGATTCAAACCCCATCCTTCTCATTCCTTCATTGGACAAGGCTTGACCCAACTCTCGATACATGGCATCTCTGAATTTCACTCGACTTGGTCACAAGAACAGCAACTCCTTTGCTGAATTTGCTCTGTCTCGCCATGCTCCTCCCAGTTTCACTCGTCCCACTCGAGTTGGTTTCAAGGTCTTTGCTTCGGATTCTCAAGCAGAGCCTGATTTGAGCGTGTGTGTGAATGGGCTCCAAATGCCCAATCCATTTGTGATCGGGTCGGGTCCACCGGGAACCAATTACACCGTCATGAAGAGAGCCTTCGATGAAGGCTGGGGTGCTGTGATTGCCAAAACTGTAAGTTCTTTCGTTTTGTTTTTGCTACAATTCTCCTTTCAATTATCTTTGTACAGGATTCCCAGTTGTTTTTTCTTCCCCTTTTTCATGGTTGATATAGATAGTGGTTTTAGTTAAATGGTAGAATTCGATATTCATGGTTTCTTATTCGTTCTGAGCAATCAGCCAGAGTGTACGTTTTAATGAGAGAAGAGAAATTTAATTCTCTTTGAAACTTATCATTTAGATGATAGAATCAAGGAAGAATCAGGCAGCGATTCACATTCTTCCTACAAAACAATGCCTAAACACTATATACCACTCAGAATCTGGGCAATGAAAGCCGCGTAAATTACTACTGCTTTTGTTAATTAAATAGACTATAGCTTTTGGACCGCATTGTAAGTTGAGTTAGTAAACCTTGGATGAGTGTCAGTGGGGTCGGTTGCCTATCTTTTTCTTTAATGTTCTTTTCCCTTTAGCTATTTCACACACTTGGCCTCAGTCTTTTTGTTGGGGCACCCTCAACTTGAAGCAAATCTGAAGTGGTATCCGATTTTTTTTTTTTTTGGTTCATACTATTCTTGGGCTACACGAAGGGGGAAGCCTTTTCCCATCCCATAAACCCCATCCAGCTCATCCTAAGATTCGAACTGAGATATCCAAGTTGGAGTCTCAAGTTCTATTTGCTGTGCTGAGTTGTGTTATACTATATATAATATGGAAAACTGCAATGCTGTTAAATGGTATTGACAACCTTGGTTTGTAAGCATGTTTACCTTTCCCCCTTTCTCTTATACTTCTGGAATATGCCTGTTGTGCACATTTCCATACTAAATGATCAATCTTTGATGCCAAATTATTCTCCTAGGTGTCACTAGATGCTGCCAAGGTTATCAATGTAACTCCTAGGTATGCCCGGCTACGAGCAGGAGCAAATGGCTCAGCCAAAGGACAGATAATTGGGTGGGAGAACATCGAACTCATCAGTGACAGGCCTCTTGAAACTATGTTAAAAGAATTTAAGCAACTGAAAGAAGAATATCCAGACAGGATTCTCATTGCCTCTATTATGGAGGAATATGACAAAGCTGCCTGGGAAGAACTTATTGATCGAGTTGAGCAAACTGGGATTGTAAGTTGTATTCTTCATATAGATTCTATGTTTGTTTATGTCTCCCGTATTTTAAAGAATTTGAAATCTGATGATCTTGTTTTAGGATGCCATTGAAATTAATTTCTCATGCCCTCATGGCATGCCTGAGCGTAAAATGGGTGCTGCAGTAGGGCAAGATTGTGCTTTGTTGGAGGAAGTTTGTGGATGGATAAATGCAAAAGCAACTGTTCCTGTGTGGGCAAAGATGACTCCTAACATCACTGACATCACACAGGTGTGCTTGCTTGCTTTTTTAATTGTGTCCCTACTTATGCAACACTTGCTTTCAAATTCTGATTTTATTATGATTAAAAAGCATGTTATCATGGATCAAGCATCTGAGGTGCTAATTTGGAAACCTATATTTTGGGCCTGTTTAACATCTTGTCTCTCTCTGCTCTGCTTAAAATTTCTGTCATGATTCATAACAATTTCCATTTGTTGCAAGCATTTATGTGCAAGAGTGACTATTCAATTTTGTATCATGTATGAAATAGTTCTGTAGTCGGCTCCCTGGGATAAAACTGTCAATATTGCAAAGCTCATGACATTTGGATATTTTGGTAAGGTGAGCCACCATTAAGCACCATTTTCACCAATGCAATCGTTTCTGAAAAACCACTATGAATTTTCTTATCTATAAACAGAGGAAGACAGAATATAAGCCTTAATTTCTGGCTGTAAGTAGAATTTTGACTGAGGACAAAAGGAATTGAACAGTGTACTTTTTCCATGTTGATGCTTGTGGAAATTATTGATGAAGAGAAATGGAACTGCACATCATATTTATTTTAATATATTGGAGACGTTGAGGATTAATGACAAAAAAGACTACAGATCAAGAACCTATTCGTTGTTGTTTTTATGAATAATTTGTCCATGATTATCATGGAAGCCAAACCAGTGAATGAAATTTTTACTCCTACTAAGGAATAAAAATTTGTGTTATTCTGTTTGTCTGTATTAGTATAATGCTAGATTTATCATTTCTTTTGCGGTTGAAAATTCCTATCTATCTAACTGCTAGTTCTGCTTTAATTTCATTATCTGATTAATATAATTGATGGTTTTCTTGGGAATGCAACTTATTCTCAAAACTTCATGGTTCTTTCTGATTCTTTAGCACACCTTTTACTATTCAAAAAGGGGGTTCAAGCACCGTTGTTCAGAATTCCCATTAGAATGAAAGCAATGAAAAGATATCCTTGCTTGTTTCTTCTATTGTCCTTTCTATCCATCCTGATGCATGCTAATATTTTGCCCGCTAATGTCGTTGGTGGTGACATTTTAGTTGATTTATTACTGATAAGTGATATTATCCTCCTATTATGTTCTTTTAGCCAGCCAGAGTGGCTTTAAGTTCAGGATGCGAGGGGGTATCTGCTATTAATACAATCATGAGCGTGATGGGAATCAATCTTGATACTTTACGTCCTGAGCCTTGTGTTGAGGGGTTTGTATTCTCAAATTGAACAATTTTCATTTTCCACTGGCTCAGAATTCATCCCAGAAAATTTTATGCACTCAATTTCTGTTGACAGCTACTCAACTCCTGGGGGCTATTCTTGCAAAGCAGTCCATCCTATTGCACTTGCAAAAGTGATGAGCATTGGAAAAATGATGAAATCGGAATTTAATGACAAGGAGTACTCACTTTCTGGCATTGGGGGTGTTGAGAAAGGGGACGATGCTGCTGAATTTATTCTTCTTGGAGCAGATACTGTGCAGGTAGAATCTGGAAAATAATTCTTGAAAACTGTCTTCTGCTTTAGTACATCTATTGTCTCTTCATGCCTCTGGGTAAATTAGTGTCCTCCTTTGTATCATATATCTTAGCATTTCAATCCAAACCTCAAAGTTATTATTAGCCATGGATATAATATGGGGGATGCATATTCATACAGTTTTGTTTGTAATGTATCATATGAGACTTAATGTGGATTCCATGATAGAAGCATTCCTTTGATGTCATACCCGCATCTTTGTTTACTCAGGAATGGCTTTGTTTAACACATGCATTGTTTGGTCTTTGGTGAAGCAACCCTACACAAAGGATTGACAGTTGTTTTAATTTGATATGATATCAGCTTGTTAGAATTCCAATTATTATCATGTGGGTCTTGTCTTTTCTGTTGGGCTGGGAGCATATAATATTTCACACCTTGAACTTTGAGATGCTTTCCTGCCCTCCCATTTCCAACTCCCGAGTGGCACTGTAGAAATGTGGAGAAAATTGTTTCCCATGATGTTGGGCGTCTAAATAGGTTTGATTTGCTGCTGTATTAACCTTCTTCTCTATGGCTACTAGTTACATTTGAAGCTAGTACAGATGGATTGGAATTTGTTTATTAGGTTACCTTATTTTGTGATACATTTAGAATGACAACATCGTAATTTATGTTTGAAGTAGATGTTTTTGAGCTTCAGGCAATATTTTCATGCCCAAGTCATAAGGTAAATGGTACTTTTTTTATTTTATTGGGTTGAGGCAGCGGCAATGTTTGTATGACTGTGAGGAAGCAATTGCTGCCTTGATGTAAAATTCTTCTATTTCCTGCTTTTGTCACGTAACCATTGAATATGTGATAAGTGCAAAAATACTTGGTAACAACGTGGTAAATACTTCATTGATTAAATGAAATATCATCACCCAATGCTTTCTGTTCTTGTTTACAGGCTGTGCTTTCGAATAAACTACCTTAAAAATGTTGAGGTCATAAGTTTGGTGGAATGCTATGCAGTGGCACTGAAGTACTCTCGAAATCTCGCAATATATTTTTTCTTAGCCTTTAACCTGCTAATTCTAGTATAATCCTTAACAGTTGTTAAGTTATGCAGAATATGATTGACTGAGACCATAAGTTACATAGTTGACAGCTATCTTTGAGCTCATATTTTATTTTGTATCATTATTGTATGATAATACTGAATTTCTCAATCAATTTCTATGATGTCTTTAAGCTTGCACTGTCACCTATGCTTGTAGGTCTGTACAGGTGTTATGATGCATGGCTATGGCCTTGTGAAGCAACTCTGTGCAGAGCTTAAGGATTTCATGAAGAAGCATAATTTCTCATCAATAAACGATTTCAGAGGGTATTTACTGTGCTTTATTTTTAACAAGTTACAATAGCAGTTGTATATAATCTTAAAGAAAATTTAGCTGGATACTGCACCTGTCCTTTTGTTATTTAACCTGTTTTCTTGGATGGTGTTGCAGGGCTTCCCTTCAATATTTTACAACTCATACAGATTTAGTGCGAAGGCAGCAAGAAGCAATTCAAAAGAGGAAAGCTGTTAGGAAAGGTTTGCAGTCTGACAAAGACTGGACAGGAGATGGTTTTGTGAAAGAGACTGAGAGCATGGTTTCTAACTGATTGCACTACTGCAGCAGCCTTCTCTATTGTATGATTAAAAATAAATGGGGTTTTAGTTGTATCTGGTTGAGAGATGTCTATTGTTTCTTTGCGTCTGAGAAAGGGTTAAAATATATCTGAAGGTACTGATGTAAAAACAGAAGATAACATATATTTCAGAGGCAATTTGTTAATAAAGTGCATCTGTTTTAGCCTCATGGTATATAGGTTATGTTATCAGGCAGCAGAAAAGAAGAGAAATGATCCCAGCCAAAATGAATATCTGTTTCCTATACATTCTCATTGTTGTCATGCTGTGGAGCAATAAGTCTTGCCACCAATCAAAACTGAGTGATATCATGGAGTTGAAAGACATTTAGCATGCCATTGCAATACGGTTTCCTTGTTTTGTGTTTTCTTTTTCTCAGTTTTTCCTATCATCCATGCACAAAACTAGTGAAGCACAAATAAGAGGACAGCCAGCAGGCATAGGATGTTATGCCGCCGGGATAGATATAAGCTTAGGTATCTTCAAATGCAACATAACATCAAGGAAAGAGAGATTTGAAGTACCAAATTTTACATCATAGCAGGTTACAAGGTTTTCGATATTGATGTTAGAGGAACTCATGAAGCACGGTGGTTGTAATGGCAATCAACCAGCATTACTTATAGCTTAGTTATATTTGGTACCCAATTTTCACATGTTCAGCTGCAGCAACTGTTTTGCTGCACGTCCTGGCTGCACTACTCTACAGCATTTGACTCTCATTTTTGTTGGTCCCTGCTCCAGTTTGAATTACTCATTTCTGTTGCCTGTAAAACAAGTTTCAGACAGAGCAAATTAGTCATCTGTTTCTTATAATCACAGCTTCATGGTGATGGTACGTTGTTAATATACAACAAATTGCATGCAATTTAACACTACGAAGGTTCAAAATGGGATAAAAAATAAGATTGGAGGCAATCGCAATGGCAAAAGCAAGTCTCTAAATGCTTTTGCTTGAGCACGAATTTATCATGATTGGGATTTTGGCCGGTAAATTTCATCTTCTGTTTTCTTTATTCCCATGGAGATAGTTTGATAAATAGAACATACCAGAAATACGTCAGCTGATTGTGGATTAGTTCTGGCGAGCTCCCTTAGTTGTGAATGCATGCCGTTGATGAAAGCTATTGTTTCCTGGTGAGGCTCCTCCATGGCATCCTTTAGCTTGCTCAGCGCGGAGCAGTACGCCTCCTGCCAACATGTTACCATTTTACATTACTTTTCTAGCTTTCATATTCAGAACTAATTCAATCATATCAGGTTATAATTTGTTGCAAAATATGTGAACAATCAGCAAGTCCATAGCAATCAAAACACGTTCATGGTTGCCCCCAAGGGTTAGGAAGCTCTCTTTCCCTTCACCTTGCCGGTCCGGAGGCTGAGTAGTCAGAACTCCTCTCCTTAGGTAAATGATTATCTCTACAAGACCCTTTTATCTAACGAAAAGCAATCATGTTCTCGATTTCACCATGCTCAAAATTACATTGGGTTTGGGTCGTTCAATTATTTTAATGACTAGTCCAAAGCTTTTGCATATCTCTACATGCACATAATAATGTAGTATAATTATTTGTTGATTGTTTTCACATGATTTATCTTTTTCTTTCTCAAATATTCAATCTATATCATAGAGTATAATGGTTAGAAATAGACAAACATTTGGATGAAACAATGTGTTAGGTTTTTTTTTTAATTTTTTTCTCATTCATTGTTGTTTATGTATAAAAAAATTGATACAAGGACAGGTTTATATATATCAAAACTAGATATAGAAAATAAGTTTATCAGTATCCCAGTATGGGACTATTTGAATAACTTACAAAACAAAACAGAGTAAAAAAATAATAATTGAGCATCAGAATTAGACTTAAACCATACTAAAACATCAAATTAACAACACTAAAATCACACTAAACTGTGCTAGGTTTGTTAATTATAAAAACTTTATTGACCTAGATTGAGATGATCAAAACCTGATAATACAACCTGCATTTGGTCATGATCTTGACTTAAGAAAGTGTGAATACCAGACTATTCAAATTTGATATGATTTAAACTTAAAAATATGACTTGAAAATCGAATCAAGATAAGCTGAATCTAAAACAGCCTTACCTCCAACATGCCACAAGCGAAGTATAGTAATCCAAACTAATTAAGCTGTTAGTAACACATTATCATCATAATCAAGAATATTTAGTAAAATCATATACAAAATCCGTAACATAAATTTATTCTTCTATTAAAAAATTACCTATTATAACTTGACACTCCATCTTGCCTACTTCTTTAGGTACAAATCATGGGATGGGGAGATAAGTTTTATGTGATGTGAAAATGTCACTTCTCATTGTATATCTAAAATATTTAACTAAATAAATTTTTTTGACAAAAAAGTCAATAATATTTCCAAGGATTGCTTAGGATTAATCCTTTCTTAGATAACTCCAAAGTGCACCTCTACTTAGTGCATTAAAAGTTTTAATTTTTCCAATTGATTCCAACAAAGATCAACCCCTGGTTGATAAGAAAAATGAACTGCTATACTTATCAACTAGACTAACTTGTTTGGATTGAACTAAATACTTTAGCTAGCGTTTAAATATAGAGCCATGAGATTATACCGAGTAAGGTAGAATGGTGAGCTTTGTAGTCGTAGTCTTGACACTAAAAAGTATGATTATGCAACTAGTGTTTAGTAGGATCAACGGTGATGGTTTGGTGGGAAGATAGAATGAACATTAAGATATATTGACCATAGGATATGTGATGAATGATGAGGGCAAATGGATCAAAGAGAACATGCCTAGAGAAAAACCTAGTGCAACACTTAGTAACCCACCTTGAGGATCCCTCACGCAAAAAATGTTAGTGTAAGCATTGTAAGTCAATCGATTTTGCATTTGTAAAACTCTGTAGTAATTAATCATATTTCATGTGAAATACATTATGGATATTATATCTAATATATGAGGTATTTTTTAATCCATGAGTCTATTTATAAAGAGTTATGAGAAACTTATGTAGATAAAGTCCTTGGAACATAATGGCCTTGTAAAGAAATTATAAAAGTTATAATTATGAGATTCTTATTCATCAAAGCCTTGTTCCTAAATATGTTCTTGGTCATTGTATTGTCAAGAATAAGGACATTGATATTGCTCAAAGGCTGGTACATGCTAAACCTATTTACTTTGGATGTAAGCAATTGATCTCATAGGTTAAAGTATACGAGATACTTGGGGATAGTATATGGGTGCTTGTTAAGGAACAAGTTAACTAAACATGACCTGTTATAAGAGTTTCATTTGGTATTTCACTCAAGTGTCTATAAAAATACTCTCATGTGTCAATAGTATAAGTAATCCTTAGACTTGTGATACCATGTCATCTTGTATGTGAATTGTCATACATTGATTTCACCTTTACAGGTCTAGAGGTGACCAAATGCCTAAATAGTGTACTTTTGGGTATGATATGAGGCATGCGAAGATGAATGAGTAGTTCAGAAAGGATTCATCACCCAAAGTGATTTGAAAAGGACATATCTCATTTGCTTCTGGCTTATATTGATTAAAAGTCCTTAGCTAAGGCAATCTTGATAAGTCAATATGAAAGTTGCAAGACTAATAAAGATAAGTTAGAAAGTAGTTACTGAGCAAAGCTTTCTATCTATCTAAGATATGTGATGAAAGGATTGAATTACACTGAGATATTATACACTAAAAAGTTAGTCAAACCATATTGACTTTCTCGACATTTAGGTGGTCATGATGTATTGCTAGATGCCGCTCATAATCTATAAATATAAATATAAATTCTTAGTTGAACTAATTTATATTTATTACCAACATGCTAGGTACCTAGTAAGTCACACACTGACACATATAAGGTGAACTATCAAAATTAATTTGACTTTAATTGGATATGACCTAATTAATTTTATAAAGGCTTAATCCAATTAGGTATTGGGTTAAGTCAAATATGATTTGATAGAGTATTAAATAAATGCCTAATTAGCCCAAGACATTTTATAATCCTTATTGGATAAGAAGTAGGTTAATTCAATTTATAAAAGAATCCTTTAGTCACCTTTTGAACGTACAAAGAGTCCTATTTTATTTTCTCATGTGTTGAGATAGGATCACAATAAAAAAGAGAGAAACACAAGGGAGCTTTAAGTTGAGAGTTTGCTAGCACAAACTTTGGCTTAAGTATTCACACACTCTTATTGAAGAGATTTTGGCAAATCACTGTGGATCACCATTAAGGGCAGGACAATTGTACTGCTATGATTTGTTAAGTCCTAGTTAGTGTACAAAAGTCAAAAACAAAAAGCCAAGGAAGACTCCACCCAAAAAAGCAGACATCAAACTTTCAAGTATGTCAAAATCTTTCTCGTATGGTTTTTCTAGATTAGTTTCAATTAAAGTGATTATGGCTTAAGGGATTAAAATTTTAATAATATTCTACCATGTATGATCACCTTAGCATGATTCAAATCCCCTTCAGTGGTATCAGACTCTCCTTTAATTGATTTAATCTAGTTTTATGTTTAGTTGTTGAAGATTATAAAAACTATTTTTTGTTTATATGTGGATTTGCTGCAAAGTTTGAAAAATTTTTTAGAACAATTCTAAATGGATTTTTCAAATCTAATTTATGTTTCAAAAGGCCTTTAAATTTTGGTTTGTGGATTTAAAATCTAGATTTAACAAGTTCTTAAAGATTTTATAGATTTGTTTTAAGTGAATTCGAATTTGAAAAATCTCGCAACATAACGTGATTTGATTTGGAAATTTTTTTGAAGGATTTAAAGAAGGAGTTGGTGCATGATGTTTGGAGGGTAGAAGGTCAAGAGGATGATTTCAAGCTTTGAAAGTTTACAGAATTTAATCACTTCGTTTAGGTGATGATCTAATGATGTTTATGCACAAACAGTTTGTTGGAATTGTATTCTTGTATGACAAGGACTCTTGCAAAATCATTGTTGTTTGTACTCCTAATTTGCTAAGATTTTGAGATCCTTTTGTCATGATGTTTGGGGCATGGGATGTGTCCAAATTGGTGCCAAAATCATAGCAAACAATAGAGGATGGAGCTCCAAAGAATTTGGGACAGCATAGGTGATGTAGACCCAATATAATTGAACTAGCTTGTGTGATTTCTTCTTTATATAATTAGGAGTTGTACTAATTTGGTTATGATTTGGATTTAAGACTCCTAATTGTAGTGAAATATATCCTAAAGAGCTTATGATTGTCCCAAATCAAATTCTAAAATTAAATTGATAAAGAAATAGGACTCTTGTTCATAAAGATCTAATGCTAGTTGGACTAGAATTATAAAATTGAGGACAAAAAGGATTAAATTTTTTGATAAGATTAGAAAGCTTAATTGAATTAAGGTTCCTTATGAATATTAAATTTCTAATATGATTAGGACTCCTATTGAGAATAAAGATCAGATTTAAATTCATAGTCCTAAAAGGTTTAGGATTACTAAATCTATGTTTAATTGAATTCTTAGTAAGACTAGAACTTCTAAATTGGCACAAGACTTGTAATGGGATTAGGACATCAAATTATTTGGATTAATATCTTCAAAGGTTTAGTGATATTATTGCCAAATGACATATAAAATCTTTAATTTGAATTAACCATAAGTTTTACATGTTCATTATATGATTATGAATGTATAAGGATGATTATGGACTTAGACTACTATAATGTGTTATGGATGGCTATGGTTGAATGCATTTCATATTTATTTTATAAATAGAGAGTGTGTGCCTTGCCTTTCCTTTATTTATTCAGGAGTTATAAAATTCTCTTCTCATCTTACTTCATTCAAATGTAACTTGAAGTTTCTTTACATATATGTAATTAGAATTCATGGGATTAGATTAAGAAGAAAATTTTGTAATTCCAAGAATGAAGGATGAAGACGCCGAGAAGACATGAAGATTACAAGAATACAAGATATGGTGATATTTGTATGTAATCCCTTAGGATTTGACCAACTAATTTCTTTCAATGGCTCAAGAAAATTAGATTAGATAAAAGTCCATAATCATCCTAGTACTATACATGTGATAGATTTATTTTATGTAATATTATAAATGCTATGCATGCCAAATTCGATGAGACCTAAATAACAAGACAAAAGCAACAATAAATCCCTCATTAAAATA